TATAGAATTGCTTCGCGTTTATGTAATCCACCATGTTTTCATTGCTCAATAAACATCTCTAACGTATCTAACACTTTCAGCCACTTGTTTTTCTTCATTTAGTGAGTGATTTATGAATTTCAGTATGATTTTACTTTGGCTTTACATTTCAAATTCTAACTTTCATTGTATTTGTAATTTTTCATTTTGGGGATTTCAGATATGCTACATCGATTGACTCATTACAGATAACTGAGAATAATTCCAACCACTTCAAATGACATCTTTGATGAAAGTCACACTGTAACGTTTAACAGTAGCTTACTCATTCATACACTTACTCACATATTGACTCATTAAATGCATAGTACAGTGACCGAAATTGCTAAATATCATACTTCTACTAAGGATTGAAGACATTATGGACAGCTGTAGTCGTTGTACCTTTATTGATCTCTATGGATGTAGTTGATTACATCACTAAATCTAAGTGGTATTAAGGATAATTGTTTTCTACGATGGCGAAGAGACATAAGTAAGTAAGTAAGTAAGTAAGTAAGTAAGTAAGTAAGTAAGTAAGTAAGTAAGTAAGTAGGTGGGTGTGTGAATAACTTAGTTGTACACGTTAATCATTTTGTATATTTATGAATGGTTCACAATAGTTTAGCACTCAAACAACTTATATTCAAGATATTGTAGTGACTCACATTTATCACGAGAACACACTTTTAATAAAAACAAATATTATTATAACCAACTGTACCAGTGTTTGTTTTAACGTGCTTTTGTTTGACTGTGCTAATGACAGCTATTTTGTGCTTCCATTCTTTTACTTACACTTTGATTGTAACTTCGCGCGAATTCGGTTACGTTCTGTAACCAAGCTTGTATTCTGGCACGATCTCGGTATCCTTTCGATGCCACGAGATCGCCAGCGAATACATCTCGATTTGATACATTAATTGCCTTCTGGTGTTTGGCTTCTCAGGGATTTTATGGATTTATTTGGTTACGTCCAACCTTCGCCTTCTGATTTATTTGGCACGTGTTTATTGGTAGCGGTGTTCATAGTTTACCTCAACTCGAAGCCACGCTACAATACAACCCATTTATCAAGTATACATTGATTTATTTCACTTTGAATCAGATTAATAAAATGATGGCCATTTTTGTTATGAATTGATTATCTAAATCAAATTGAATTGAGTGAGTTACATGTTAATGACCTATTTGACTACCACTTGAGGTATACACAAAACAGACTTAAGTAAAAGTACAGTTCGGTGAGTAATAAGTCAATCGAGATTGGAAGAATGAGCAAAATTCAAGTATCATTTGTAACCAGCGCCGGAAATGTTTGTATATCAACAACATAGAGTAAAAATTATAGTTTCGATAATGCGATGGGTAGAAGAAAGTTTATCAAAGTTATGTGATGATATATTTGCGCAATACACTTCGAACAATCTGAATACACCTAATATACTTGTTAAGACATTTCTATATGAAAACTAAAAGGTCAACTAGACAGGTTAAAGGTAAGCCGTAACAAAGATAAAAAAACAAAGTACACGAAAAGAATGTGACTCAGTAGCTAAAAGGATAACGTAATGGCGTTTAGAGAGAAAGATACTGAGTTCGAGTCCGAAGTGGGATGAAACGCATCACCTGGTTTCCACTGCTAATCAGTAACCATCTCTTATAATGTGATAACCACTCTGGATAATAAATCAGTATTACCAGGGTAGGTTAAGTGTAAGGACAAATTGTTTTTGAACACATAAAGAGGGTTTCAGTTTCTGTATGGCCAAGACTTCAATAAATCTTAATATACTTCCTTAAAGACTTTTGTATAACACTAGATATGCTGATTTGATGTCAATCTTATGACCAGTTTCAATCAAATGTTTCGCAGTGTAGGATGATGTCTGTCTATCCTGTGATTTTATTTGATCATTGGAATTCATTTGTTTCTGCAGCTATTTTGGTATGTGTTCACTCATTGCAAATCACCATTGCTCCTCCCTATGTACGTGTTTTGCGCAAATATATTATCACATAATTCTGATAAGCTTTCGTCTACTCATTGCATTGTCGAAATTTATCAAAGGAACTAGTTGTTTTAAAAATTATAGTGTTAGACATATCAAATAAGAATTTCTATTTCTATGGATAGTGTATCATAATCAAGTTGAGACCTAACTCTTAATCATCAAATAAAATCTAACCTGAAAGGACTATTCTCAAGATGGTGGCGAAGATTTGTAGCTCAGATGGATGAGATTGATGGAGTTTTGTTATTTGAGCTGGATAGTTTGGTCGTGATGCTTTCATCGTTTTTCTGAACGGCATCATCAGCATAAACTTCAGGTAGAAGTGAAGTGTTCGAATCTCTCCACATGTGGTTCACAGCTTGTTCTGTACACCTCGATGTTGAACCACACGTGAAAAATTCGAACACTCCACTTTTATCAAACATGCATAAAATACTTCCTAGAAATATTTACAAATAATGAATGTTGTCAAGTGATCAAAATCTTACTTTCAAAACATTAAGGATCAAAATACAAATAAGGTAAATAACAACTCATGTTGAGCAATAGTAGAAGAAAATGGAAATGAATAGGACAATTTCATTTTTGGATGTGTTGGAACGAATGAAAAATTGTCTGTTTTCATCGTTAAGGGGTTCGTGTTAACAATTTGATTAATTAGTCAGTTCGTATCAGTTAGTCAGAAAAATTGTCGATTAGGAATTTTAGTAAAATGTAAACTATCTATAGAATCGTACAATTAAGTTATTGCAGTTTTCGAGTGTTTGTATTTGCTAGTTGATGGTATTCGGATTTGCGCTTGATTAGTCTGTGTTAGAATCTTTCACTTACATGGGAAATATCATCGATGAACAAGGAGGAATAGATGCAGACGTAAAGGCGAGGATTGACAAAGCAAGCGCCGCATTCCTTCAACTGAAGAACATATAGAACTCAAAACAACTGTCAACCAATACCAAAGTCAGAATCTTCAATACGAACGTCAAGACAGTTAGTTCTATTGTATGGAGCTGTAACTTTGAGGACTACAACAACCACCATCAAGAAGGTGTCAGTCTTTATAGATAGCTGTCTACGCAAGATACTCAACATCCGTTGGTCGGAGACCATCAGTGACAGCCTTCTGTGAGAGAGAACAAATCAGCTTCCAACTGAGGAGGAACTTAGGAAAAGACGATGGAAATAGATGGGACATGCATTACGGAAGTCATCAAACTATATCACGAGGCAAACCCTAACTTGGAATGTTGAAGAGAAGCGGAAAAGTCGAAGGCCGAAGAACACATTACCTCGAGAAATATAAGCAGATATGATTTCTAATCACTATTTCAATTTTCTGGAACCTTCCCTCCCAAACTCTATATATTCGAAACAAAATCTTATGACCTCATTAACTCTAACGAAATCTTTGCTACACTATGTTACATATATTCATCCTTCATCGCCCTCTGTTGTATAAGTATGTCAATATCTGTAATAATGTTGAATTTCAAATATTTTAGGTTGTAAGCAGCTGATGAGAACCTAACGAAATAAAATGAATTCATATTATTCTGCACCAACCTTTGTTCTTGCTCTCTTTAAAATAATAAAGGGAACTATGTGTATGAAAGATATGAAAAAGATGAATAAAAACTAGAAAGAGTTGGAAAGGATTGCCTAGGACAGGGTTGGATGGAGAGTGCTGGTAGGCAGCCTATGCTTCTCCACGAGGAGTAACAGGGGTAAGTAAGGAAGTAATAGATTAGCTACTCATATACAATACTACTTAGTAGGGCGATGTTAAGAACGAATAGATCATATGGCTTAGTGAATTAGTTACAACAGTTCAATCCTATCATACTGCTTATCATAGGGCTACTCAGTATGGTTTATTAAAATTGGACTACCGAACAATGTAATTGAAACATATAAAAGTCAATTTATTCATATACGGTTTTGATTTATTTTCAGTGTATAATTTAATACTCATTTATTGCGTTCATCTACTTTCACGCATTGAACCCTATCAGTTTCCTATTCATTCATAACATTAGCCTAAAGGTAAAAAGGAGATAGTGACTGTGTATCATCAAGTGTGATTAGTTAAATCAATCGCTTAATGGAGTCTTTTTTGTTTAAGGAAATTTAACCAGAAGGAGTTTCGGTTGAATAACTTTTTTATAAATGTGAATGGTTGTTTTTGCTTTTTTTAAAAATTCTAACCGATAAAGTTGAAACATGTTTCAAATATGATGTGTATTATTCAGGGTATAGAATGATCGACTCGTTAGATTATAAATTAACTATAACGGTAATTTGAAGCAACTCAGTAAATGAAATTTATTGTGATTTTCAAGTAAGAAAGATTAGTTCAGCGAAGATAAGATAAATGTTGAAATTGAGATAAAATGTAATAAGGATGATCATGGAAACAAAATGAACCAGTTAGGGGTAGAAAATTTAAGAGGAAGATGGAGAGTGAAGCAGATGGCCGTAAAGGAAGAAGAGTATGAAGAAAGAGACAAATATTTTAATATATTAAGACCATGGTAGAAGAAGAGGTTGCACCAGTCTCTTTTGCACATACAATTCTGGTTTTTCCAGATGTACAGCTATTGCTTCGGCGATTCAAAGAAGATGCAGTCTGGTTGTTTCACTGTCATCACGTATAACAAGTTTATTATTATTATCATCCTGTATATATATTTTTCAACTGTACAGCTTTGAAAATGAGTTCGCTGAATTGATCTTTCTTATTTAATGTCTAAATGGGTGTATTCTGTTTATTTTCGAGTAAGTTGAATGTACCTTAAAATTCATTCTCTATGTAAAAACATGATTTCGAACACTTCGAAGTAATTATCGCATACATTTTTTCTACAATTTTTCTCTTGAATTAGTTTACGGTCATTAAAATCCCTTTCAGATATTATGTAATATTCATAAAATAAACTTAATATTACAATAAACCAGTCATTAACTTACCGGCCATGGATGTATAATTCCAATAGAGTGTACACTGGCTTCTAATAATCCATATGTAATATCTGTATTACCCCAATGACCAGTGTATACTTCACCGTACATACAAGGACCATTGTAAATTTTTGTATTATTCGATAATATATTAATTACTGTATAAGGTTCAATACAAATACGAAATTCTAATGCACATTCTGCTTTACATATTTCTGTTTCTACTTTTATAGTAGTTATTAATGAAGATGATGATTGTTTAGGACGACCACAACAACTACCATCAATACGTCGATGTGCATGATTATGAAATTCTAGAAATTTTAATGAAAATGTTGCTAAACGATCTAGTTGTTGTTGTTGTTGTTGTTGTTGGTGGTGGTGGTGTTGATTCAACTCTGTTGTTGAATAGATCAATTTAATGTAAACTATTAAAGTGATCAAATATTGAATGAAATAAGAAAGTTCCATGAATTGAAGAGAAATAAAATATGATCCTAAAATAACTTGAATGGTTATCAAAATGATAAATAATAATTTATCTTTCTTAAAGGAGGAATTCACTTTCATTTTCTTTTTACCAATCATATTGAAGCAACACCCCTTAGGCTAATTATTTAAGAAATGATAAACATTTAAATGAATTGACCAATCAAAATCTTGTTGAATTGTGATTGGCTATCATTCGACCATATGGCGCAATTCATATTTTATATATAGACAATAAATGAGATGTGTTAATGAATTTTGACATTATGAAATGATTATTAATTTATTATTTGAAGACTAAAATATCCACTTTTTAATATTGATAAAAGTATTTGTATTCCTCTTTCTGTAGTAATTTAGAAGACTCCTGGTTTTTCACATTGTACGAGTATTCCATGTACCTGAATTAATCGTTACTATGGTTGTCAGAAGTAGCATTAGCCTTGTGAATTCCGAAGGAACTCGGCTTCATAACTCTTCTAAATAAAGACCTTCTAAATTCCAAGGCAGAGTTTGAATAGTTTAAAATATTTTTCTTTCTGGTGAGCGTTTTCTTAGCAAGTTAGTTTTCTACGGGTTGGGGTCACTAACCCCATGTCCAACCCTCCTTCTTTATCCAGGTTTGGGATTGACAATAGCCTCAGAGGAGCTCCAGGCGGAGTTCGTATCTCTCTTTATTCATTGATATTCTTGTAAATTTGATTAGATAAATGAAATGAACAATCGCAATTGATTGATCATTGGGTGGTGATCAATGTCATGTGTGTCAAGTCTTTCTTAATGCAGATCGAATGCTATCGACCAAGTTGCAATGTGGCCACCAGTCTAGGTGACTCGGCAATGATGCTCCCTGACTGTGAAGCTGGGTGACACGGGATCGAATCTGTCAGAGAGCACCAGTTACCTCAAGATTACAGGTACACCTTGCTGACGAGTGCCAAGTAGCACGAAACTCGGGTCCAGGGTTTCCTGTCGACTACCTCTAACCACCATTGAAATGAACAATATACTTCGTATTTAACCTTCATGAACATAATTTGAATACCGTGTCAGAACTCCATCAGATTTGATCTTATTTTATCTCATATTATTTACTGTAGTAGTGATTAACATAGTAGAATGCAATTTTCACATGCTTCATTCCATTTTCCAAACTAGTCATCTATATCTTAAGTAAGTATTGAAGCTTTTCAGTGAAGATCGCCCCCAGTTCCTAGTTTTATTTTTCAGAACACTAAAATATTATATCAGTAGAACTATTTCATGTTATTTCACTGCTAGTTTTTATTTGTCTATAAGTAAGTGAAGGTGGATACGAACATTATCTAATTTAGTGCTTCTCTCAGTTGATTCACATTATGCTGCAGATAACGTCGAATTTATCAATTTCTACATCTATATCTTTTGATCTGTATAAAACGAGATAATGTTGTGTTGATTTATGAGGGACTATAATTTCAAAGGGTTTTATGATTTCTTAGTGTTTTTCATATATAGCGGTATTATCCGTTTCTCGAATTCTGAGGTTAGTTTTACATCCTAGTTCAATTACTCAGAGACTTTTTTAACGAAGTTAACGAGATGGCCACTTTTCACGAAAACAAACTGATGATGAGTTTCTTCAATTTCTCATGTCGTGAGAGTTCTGTAATGGTTTTCGACTCTTTTTGAATATCATCTAGACACAACTGCTTCTGTGCTCTGTTGATTTATTAACACTTAGCATTTGATCTTGATGACTTGAATTCCTTTATACTTGTGTGACCAAAGTTTATGTGTTTGTTTCTTTAAATAAAGCATACAACGATGGAAGTACTTCCTGATTCCTGTTCTTATGTAGATTCAATACAGTCGAAGATGTTGCTAATCAACTTATGAGTGTCCGCATTTGTTTAACCATCTTAAAAATTATAGTTTACAATGATATTTGACAAGTTATTGATAAGTAATCATTAACAATGAAAGTGTTCTTGTGATTATTTAAAATAATGTTAGACAAAACGTGCTAAATCTATCTTACAATGTAAATCACAAATGGCTATTTCAGAGTACAACTGAGCTACTAATATATTTGTCAGTAATAAAAAGTGAATAAAAGAAATATGTTTGAGTAGGTAAAAGAAAAAGTCAACTCAATCCATTTTGTAGAGATTTAGATTATATCAGGTTCGAGTAAGATTTTGATCACAGACTTCTCATATTTTGCTAGTGAATAAAGTCAAGAAGAGAAATAGTAGGGGAACATGGTTACTCAATTTGGTTAAAATATGACTCAGAATTTATAGAGACGAAAGATACAAGTATAGCTATCATGCACAAATGCTTATGGTCACATATATAAATGGGATGATAATAACTGAAAACATCGGAATAAACTAATCATCTAATGATGGTGATAAATCGCGCAAGTAGATAGCGAGATACAGACTAATAAACTGTAATCTTACCCGATACTGCTCGGGCTAATTATCTATTGACTAGTCCTCAAAAGTCTTCCACTCATTAACCCCAAGTACTACATTACAATCTTCACTTTGAAAAATAGATTATTTGTTAAATTATATGGTTGTTTACAGAACTATATTTCACCATGATGTTATAGAAGTATTGGGAAAACATGTTAGAACTTTTAACGAATTCGAGATTAGTTCAATCAAGATGAAGAAAGATGTGATCAGTCACTATCCATATTTCTTTGGAATTTTGTAGAGATAATCGATTATTCAACTGATTTATATCATCTTATTGGTTATTAGAAGCTATACAGAGAAACTGTCGATGTCTCCTTACAGAATGCATCGTCAGAAATAGCATAAAAATGTCATAGTCAGATGAATTTCTTATTCATATCCATTTTTTCATATCAGTGACATGGTAAGTTATTCAAAGTCACAACAGTCATCGCTGTCTTTATCAAGTCAGTTATGCCTTTTTATACCATTTGATTTACGTGATATTTAAGCTTGGAGGTTAGAAAATTGCTCTGACGAATACAAACTACTTTGATACTTGTTAGTAACACAATGTAATGTAAAAACCTTTGTGATTTTGGGAATCGTATAAACTGGATTGTTCTACTCAAGACAGCGGATTATAGATTGTTAGTTGATTTGAAAACAGCCTAATCTGAAATCGACATGGCGATCATGAATCACAGACTGCTGCAAAGTTTTTGCACTGTCACTGAACGCAATTTGTTTATTGTCAGTCGCTGTTCCACAATAAAATTAATAAGGAAAAGTGTAGCGGTATATAAATCATCAAAATCGAAATCTCTGTAAGTCTTCGACATTTTATGCTGACCACATTATTTTTATTGGACTCACCTACAACCGCTAGCCAGCTTAGATTACTTACTTATCGGTCTATCGAGGTTCTATCAGGTATATCTTCGAACCTCTTCACTTCTGACTTCTGATTTGACTGGCTTGGTATAATCCGATTATAAAAGGTGATGCTGGTTAAAGCATTGCCAAACTCTGATTACTTGTGATATCTTTAGTGGTGAGCCTGATGTGATCTGGTACACCAATTCGTGAACTGTGAGTCTGTTCCTTGGTGAGACTATGTATATCATTTTTTAAAAATCTAATTTTTACATATTGTAATATTTTTCTGGTATTTTCGAATACCTTTTCATCGTTCATTACTATACTTTATACTCATTATGACAGAACGGATTCCTAAATTATTTAAGATCAAAACTATTTTGCCACCTTCATTTCAGCTGATACGAGTTTGGCGTGACAACCACGGAGCGGGTCCTGCTATGCGGAAAATGAATTCCATGGATACGGCGTGACAGACCAACGTGTTCAGTTCTTCGCGGTGGCGAAGGAATTACTGCGCGAATTCGACTGGTACGTCACACCTAATATGTTTACTAGTGATGTTTCAGAACCTTATGAAACTCAAACGGCTATTCTTGAACATGAACGTATGACCGACCGACAGAGGTTAGACCAACTTTTCAACAACATTGATCTACAACATGGCCCAGAAACAGACATGTTACCACGGATGTGAGGGGTTATTGGTCATTGGGTTTTTGACGAAGGCCTCTTTAGACAACTGTTCTTGTTTAAGCTTCCCCAAAAGGTGCAGGCAGTGCTTATTTCATTTCGGAATAACGCTGTAGATGAGCTGGCTGCATCTGTATATCGGATTCTGGAGATCACCAGACTCTGGCAGAGAGTTCATCAACTTCTCAATATGAAACTAATCGGTTCACTTATTAAAACGATTGTGCATTGTTGGTACAAGTGTTGTTGACTATCCGATCACTAGTGGTTACCAATGCGAAGGACAGGATATGTCATTTGACCAGTTCAGCATAAATGTGTAGTGACTCACATTTATCACGAGAACACGACTGGTTTAATAAAAACAATTATTATTATAACCAACTGTACCAGTGTTTGTTTTAACGTGCTTTTGTTTGACTGTGCTAATGACAGCTATTTTGTGCTTCCATTCTTTTACTTACACTTTGATTGTAACTTCGCGCGAATTCGGTTACGTTCTGTAACCAAGCTTGTATCCTGGCACGATCTCGGTATCCTTTCGATGCCACGAGATCGCCAGCGAATACATCTCGACTTGGTCCATTAATTGCCTTCTGGTATTTGGCTTCTCGGGATTTTATGGATTTATTTGGTTACGTCCAACCTTCGCCTTCTGATTTATTTGGCACGTGTTTCTTGGTAGCGGTGTTCATAGTTTACCTCAACTCGACGCCACGCTACAATTGGTGACCCGTATTTTGGAACACGCCTCAACATCTGGTCAAATCTTCCAAAGAAGCCAATTCGGTGAGTCTATGATTTATCTATCCACGTCTGTCGTATATTTTCATATTTTTTAATATTTAATATACACGACATGACGGATAACGATAAGAATAGTATTAATATAATAGACTCACATGTACGTGTACCGAATCCTTGTTACTTTTTATTCGCGTGACGATAAATTCCACGCTT